TTGGGATCTCGAAAAGAAAACGGTACGTAAAATATGCGTAAAGGACACATTTTAAAAAAATAATAAAACCGTACTGTTTAACAAAATGCCAAACTATTCACCAAAACCTACCAACAAGGAGAAAGACTGTAATATTAAAATGGTCCTATTAGAAATGATCGTACATGTGACTGTAGGCTCGAAGGGAAAGAGTTGTCTTATATGAAGAAAGTTTAATGACTTCAAGGCCTGATATTTCTACAACTTTTTATTTTCGTCCTTTCGCCTTATTTGCTAATGTCATACTCACAAACAATTAAGAATTAATAAAAAAAATTCTGAAATTATCAAATAAAAATATTTTAAACAACCACCATGATTTTGTCTAGAATAAGAATGTGCAGTTCTTTCAACTGTTTGTTGTTATGGAGATAGTGGGCCTAATATTTCATTTGTCCTTTGATTCAATATTCAAAAGTAAAACTTTTGAGAACTACTGTTTTGTAGGGTGTTAGAATTATTTAATTTTCTTTTTTGTGTGATTTAGGGGTTGCTGATTGGATAAAGTACTGGACTAAGATCGCCTGCAGCCCCAAACAATGGTCGTGTGGCGAACTACTGATGCGCATTTCTGGGGGGCAAATATATCCTTTTAGCTGATTTGTCCGCCCTGCACAAGCGGGAGCGTCGCCAAGGAACCTTGGGGGCGTCCACATGGGGTTTGCCTCTTCGTGGCGTGGCGGACTAGTAGGGAGGTACTGTTGTCCCGAAGATGAAATCCCCGGCCGGCCGCATGACTCCCAACGCAACGGGAGTCGTAACGTCGTAACATGATGACATGTTGTCGTTAATGGATATGAGGCTTGGGTGGTGGGTTAAAATACATGCCGATGATTCTAGCTACGCGGCCGTGAGAAAGACGCTCCTAGGGGACCGTTTCGTGCCAGCTTTCCGTTCTGACCGAAAGACTCCCTGGGCGGTGGGGGGAGGGGGGTGGTAACGCAACACCTTCCCCCCGGAATGGAAGCAAACCCGCCCAGAACCTTAGTGAGAGTGGAGCGCAAACGCTTTAAACACAACTTTTTGGGTGGGTCACGCAACACCTTCCCCCCGGAATGGACGCAAACCCGCCCAGAACCTTAGTGAGAGTGGAGCGCAAACGCTTTAAACCCAACTTTTTGGTTGACCGGGCGCCCCCACCCCCCACCCCCCCCCCCCAGGCCAGGGAGGAGGATACCGGCGGCGCACGGTTTGGTGGCAGAGAGACCCGGTGTGGAGGTGTGCCCGGGGGGGGGCATTAAAAGCTCGTACAGCTCGACGGCACACAGACACCTTTTCTCCAATTTGTCAATCCAGCTACGCAATGCATGTTTGAATGATCAACATGAGTATAAATACTGTGGTAGTCTATTTGTTTCTACCGATCGAAAAAAAAAACAAGAAAAACCTCCATTAATTTCCAGGTCGTAAAACTGATTTAAGTTTTTTTTTAAGAACAAAAATTTGTTTTTCAATGTTAATAATTTACGGCTGGATTTGAATTACCTTTTCAAATTATGTGGATAACGCGGCCTGACATGAGGTAATTTAAGGATATATTTTAAAGATGGTGGAGCTATGGCTCGCTGAGGATAAGTAATGATATCAAAGAGAAGTTTCAGAAATAAGGTTAGGAAAGAGAAAAGTGAAATAAAGAATGTAAAAAACTGAAAAAAGTACGGGAAAAAAATGAAAAATGTAAGATCTCGCAAAGAGACTTGATCAGCTGATAAACAACAGTAAAAAAAATATAAAAATTAAACTAAATACTAAGTTGTATTGCACCCGAGAAGACAGTAATTGAAATGTAATAGACCATCGGTAGGTAAGAGAGTTAATATAAGCATATATAACAGCAGGTTGAAGGTAAGAGAGCTAATATCGGCAATACGGGACGAAAGATAGGGAAAAGAAGTCGACGGCTACTGATTGTAGCGAAAAATGAGAGCGGATAAAAAAGTATCCTTGGGGGATAAGTAATGGTGACCATGGAAGGGAAAAAAAAATAATTTTGATAATGGCACAAAATATGACAGTGATCTCTACAGACCATGTTTGTATTTATTACCCAAAATTCACAAGGAAGGAAGCCCAGGAAGACCTATTGTCTCAGCTTATTCGTGTCCTACTGAACTGATTTCGGAATTTTTGGATACAATTTTTCAGCCCATGGTTGAAAGTTTGCCATCATATATTAAGGACACTAACCATATGATCAAATCTCTCGAGTCCTTGGTTTTACCTAATGTTACAATGGACGTTTCTACACCTCAATTCCCCACACAGATGGACTCACCGCTATTTCACTTTAAAAAAAATAAGAATCATAATCCCAAGTTTCAAACAAATGCCATTGTACGTCTGACAGAACTGGTTTTAAAACTTAACTCATTTGAATTTAATGGCTAATTTTTTTATCACATCAGTGGCGTTGCTATGGGAACAAGAATGGGACCAAGCTATGCATGTCTATTTATGGGCCATTTGGAACATCTTTGGAGAGAACACTACAAAGGCCCTCTCCCGGAATATTACAAGAGATACATAGATGACTGCAAAGGGATTACAAATATGGACATAACACAACTGAAAAGTTTTATTAACTTTATTGGACATTTTCATCCAACAATCAAATTCACTTCAACGATCCATAAAAGTACTATCAATTTTTTTTACTTAAAAATTAATCTTAAAGAGAATATCATATATTCGTCCATTTTCTACAAGAAAACAGACAGCCATAGTTTCTTGCTGTATTCATCATCCCAGCCTCAATCATGCAAAAACTCCATCCCTTTTTCTCAGTTGCTGAGAGTCAGACGACTCTGCAGACATGATGATGATTTTTGGGAAAAGCGGCTGAAATGTTGGATTTTTTCCGACTTAGGTTATACCCTGAACAAATTTTAAAGTAGCTGTCACTCGATTTAAAGGCATGCTAGACAGGATTCTTATAAAGCCACTCATTCTGACGCTATGGGTAGGTCTAAATTTATTTTAACTTTTTACCCCCATAGCTTTAAAGCTCGTTTTCTGATTCTGAAAAACCGCTCAATTCTAAATGGCAGACCCGGTCACCAATGAGATTTTCAGAAAACATCTTTTCGCTTTCCGCTGAGACAAGAACCTTGGGGACATGCCAGTAAGAAGCCACCTCCCCGCTATCAAAGCACATAAAGGCACCAAAAGTTGCAACCGTAGCCGTTGCAACACATATCCCTATGTGATTGAGGTTGATAAGATCACTTTCCCTCTAAAAATATACAAAATAAAAGATGGCTTTACCTGCACAAGTCGCAGCGTGATTTACACCATCATTTGCAAAAAGTTCGGTAAAGTATATGTACGAGAGACAGGTTCAGAGAACACCTACATAACATAAATCAACAAGCTCTCTGTCCGGTCTCCAAACATTTCAATAGCCCTAACCATGATGGTATCTCAGACATCGTAGTTACTGGCATAATGTATACTAGCAGTACAACAGATAGGATATACATGGAGAATAAATTAATAACAAGATTTGGTACGTTGTCTCCATATGGAATAAACCAAATCTACAATTTTACCTAGCTGCCATGTCTTTTTTCCTGTTTGGTTTTTACAAATTTGCTCAAATCACTTCCCTTACACTTTACTTTACTTTGCTTCTGTCTGGTTTTTTCGCCCACTCTAATTTTTTATCCCCCTTTTTTAGGTAGGATATCTATCTATCTATCTATATATATATTTATATATATTGCATTGCTTTGGATGGAGGAGGACTTAGTCAATTTATATATATATATATATATATATATATTGCATTGCTGTGGATGGAGGAGGACTTAGTCAATTTTCACTAGGAGTTGTGTAACTATGTTTTGTTATAAGATGCATAGGATTTTTGGACACGTCTATCTTATTCTGAACACCGGAGATGATTTCTTTTGCATTTATTTTGCATTTTTCACTGTCACTCATATGAAGCCAATAAATAATAAGAAAGTGAACCAGAGCTAGTCACGGGAAAGGCGGCTGCGAACGCTTTAAACGCAGCGTTTTCTGTCAACCGGGCGTCCTCTAGGCATGGGGGACGTTCCAGGCGTTCCACAGCACGGTCTAGCTAGAAATGTCGGCGTCTGGCCCGTGTGGGGGTGTGGGAGTGTTGCCGGGAGGGCATTATGATCTCACGCTTGACGGCCCGCCGACACCTTTCCCAATGAGACTATAATCCATGTGAAAGGGGAGTTTGGTTGTTTCGTTATTTATGAAGTAAATGGAAATAATAACAAATTCATAAACATTAATTTAAACGTTTTCCTTATTTACTTTGTGTATAATCTTTTTTTTTTTTTATTTCATGCGTTCTTTTTCGAGTGTGTCGCGGGGAGAAAAGGGTATTTTTTCATGGAACAATTAATGTGTTCTGATTCTGATAGGGTACATTGCTGCATCCATGATCTGGCATAGGTGAAACGGTTTGTGAAACGATGCGGCTATCCTAAAGGCTCCTAGCGGGTGCCAGGGCAGCCTCGAAACTCTCGATGAAAGGGAAATGAATAATGAAATGATATTAACAACGAGGAAATCCATCACTTGTACTCAAGTGCGTCACGAACACAAAGCACATATAAACAGCTACACGATTAATCTCGACACACAAATACGCACCATTTGAACAAATCATTATCATCCATGGTAGCCTGTTCCTTGCCATTCTGGTGATGCGATTAACTTAATTATTAAGGCTTTCCGTCTTGCTAGTGGCGTAAAAAATTACTGCCTCATTGCCGCAATAGTTCTTAGCTTGTTATTTATGCTAAAATCAAAGAGATAGAATAACGTCATCATTTAAGATAATGATTTGTAACTTTGTGTTTGAAACATATTTTACCCCGTTGAAATTAAGTTATTTTCCCGAAGCGCACCCACAAATTAGGAATGCATAGTTAATGAACATTTTAAACACACAAAAACAATGAAAAAGTTTAAAATGAATCCTCATTTAATGTACTCTTCATTGACATTTCCATCAAACTTCACACACAAATTTTACTGGCAAGTACATCGGTGTGCATGCGCAGTCAATCATGCCCACCCAACCTTTCATGATGCACATGCAGTCTTCGTAATGGAGAGCGTCGTTTGGCTCTCCCTCGTGCCAGTGCAGGTAGGTTACGGGTCTTCTGTTTCGAGCAAACTCCCAAAATCCTTCACGGTACTTGTCCGTCCCTCCTATTAGGATGGCTGTAACGTTGTGTCTTCCCACTATGGAATGCATGCGATCTTCTTCCTCTTGGTTATCCACCTCGGCGAGGTATCCACATATCGTCTCACACATTTGGGCCGCCGCATTGGCCGATGTGTAAAAATCATGGGAGATGAAGTAAGAGGAGCCTTTAAATTCATACAGAGTGAACCGTTTGAGATTTTCCTCTTGAGGCGAACATGCTATTCAGAAATATTTAAAAATGGAATACATTTCAATTTTTAGAATATTTCCCCCCCCCTCCCCCCCAAACCAAATCCTTTTTTCAAACTTATATGGAAATTCTTATCACCGTTATTTTATAGCCTTATGTTATTCCTTTTTACTCTCCTTAACTATACTCTCCCCACTTTTCAAACCCTTTCCTTTGAATGTAAAACCAACCCAACTAACTTAACTATGCATCATATTTTAAGATATCCCTCTAACATGTTTTATCTTTCCCACTTGCCCTGTAAACTGTGACATTAAGCCCTTTTACTGACTTAATTAATCATTTGCTGATAAGATTAACGAGATATCAAATGATATAATTATTTGTACATATGATTTTTTTCTCTTCTAGTTCTGTGTTTCCTTTCCGCGCTTCCTTTTGGTCTTCGCTATTATTTGCTTAAAAATAAAGTTCCCGAAAATACGCCTGCGTCACTGTCTCTTTTGCTCACTATATTTTCATTAAAATTATTTAGAATTTTGAAGTCATAGAATTTGACGAGCCAATTGTGCCAGTCTTAAGATTCTTTAAAAAAAATTTTTTTTTTAAATATAAGTGAAATTCAACCAAGTTTATGTTGAGTAAAGCCAGCAATATATATTACGATTTATTTTTAATAGTTTTTGCTTTATTTACTTGATATTTTAAAAGTAAATAGTTTTCTTAATAAGAGGCAAGAACGGCAAATATATGGGTATTAATGGTTCTCAACAATGGTGAAAGGAGAGAACGAATTTAGGTGGGTACTAGTACTAGTGACTCTCAAAAATGTTGAAAGGAGAGAAAAAAATGGGGGTAGGTACAGTAAGCAGAAAATGATATTGAAGCTTTGTAAAATTGTGAATATGAAAACCGGTTAAAAGAGATTCTTCTTTAGAGCCATGAATTCTTTGTTTTACGCTTTTTCGGTCGGTAATATAGTAGCAAACAAAGGAAAGAGTTAGGTTAAATTTTTAATGAAGAGATCAGTATATCCAATTATATTAATGTAAAATATATGCAAAATATTTTAGAATTATTTCTTGTATTTGTCTTGGGGTAGGCCCAGCAGTCAGCAGTATAAAAACACATACCATCTAATGTGGTTTCTCCAGCATAGAAATCAGTCGTCAATGACAATGGGTTCATTTATTGACAATAGTCATCAATTTATTAATCATTGAGATTTTGTAATGCAATGTCCTATTTAGTGGAAGAAGGTAGTTTATGGGCGAGGAAAGTTTAGGACAGGCGTAAAATATACAGCAGACACTTTTAATAATGTTAGAAACGTAAACATCATTGCATAGTTTTTATGCATTAAAAAAAAAGGAATTGTGATGAATTTTCGCAATAGCAGGTGTGAATCGTCGTAAAGTTCCTACCATTATTTTCTTGATAACATCGGGTGGTATTTTTAGTATTTTTTTAATGTAAATGTATAGATCATTAAAGCACAATCATTGCTCTTAAGAATCCGAACGTACTTAAATCGCTTCGTTTCTTCGGCGTCATGGTCAGCCTTGCTTAGTCTTGTCCCGTGCGGTATTTACATCAAAGAAGCTTAGAGGTTTGCTTGAATAGGCAAATCGATTGATGGCGTCATTTGCGCGTTTATTTAGATCAAAAGAATTAAAAATTCATGTGCAACATTAAAGACGCACTAATACGCACTAAAACCAACAGATGCTAGTGTGTGATATATGTGATTATCATGTATGTTTTAAATATTTTTTTTTAAATTTATCAATTTAGAAAAAAATAAAATTCAACCTCGGAAAAATGCTTAACATAGATCAATTATATTTATTTTAACTGTACTTGTGATGTATATAAGAATGAGCTATGCTGACCGTAACGCCAAAGAATTGGTGATAATTTAGGTCTGATAATTTAAGGTCAAGTTTAGAGTGGGGAAAAGCGTAGTTTAGGGCGTAAAAGGGCGTGGTGTAGGCGTATCATATATAGCAAATAAAAACCGGTACTTTTCTAAACTTAATGATGTTAGAAACGTAAACATCATTACATTGACATTACATATTTAAAGTAAGGAATGGTGATAAGTTTTTGCAACAGCAGGTAGAAATGATCACAAAAGTCCTACCATTATTATCCAGATGACATCGGGTCATTTATTCTAGTTTATAATAATAATACTTACATTAACTTTTTTTAAAAAAAAGCAATTATATTTGATTTTTTTTAGGCATTTGAATTTATTCGATATCCGATAAATAATAGAAAACCAATAACATTGTTTTAAAGAATCAGTAGGGCCCTACTTATTTAAATCGCTTCACGGTCTGTTCAGCCTAGTCCATTCTTTTATAATAGAATAAATGACCCGATGTCATCTGGATAATAATGGTAGGTCCTTTGCGATAGTTTCTAACTGCTATTTCAAAAACTCAAAACAATTTATAACTTTAAAAATGTAATGATATTTACATTTCTAACATCATTAAGTTTCGAGAAGTATTTATCTGGTATATATTATACGCCTACCTTACCCCCTTTCACACTCCTAAACTACTTGTTTCCCCTCTAAACATTACCTTAAATTACCCAGTAAAAATGATCACTAATTATATCACTTTTGTCACCCAAGAAGTGAATTGAGTGACCTTTTACTACGTTAGAGAAATACTTAAGATTTACCCCCATTTTCTTGCCCTTGAATTACAACTTTTTTTTTTTTACTTTACAAAATTGTTAAAAAACCTAATCTTAAGTTTACAACTAAAACCCTATATATGATATAAATATGTTTTATACTACAGGAATTCTATATATGTATTGATATCTTCTTAAAAAATTTAAAGACATTTTTGCCTTTTTAAAAAAATTATATATTATTAAAAACTCGTAAAACATAAACAAAATTCTTTTATGTAAAGAAAAATCGTTCAACCTTTTTTCACGTCTGTAACAGATTTGAATGTTTAAAAAAAAAAAAAAATTAAATGGTTAATCTCATAAAAATAAAAACCATCATTACTTTTTACAAATTAAAAACAAATATATATTTTCTTTTTTTTTAAAAAAGTAAATATTAATCTATCTCTATTTTTTATAATTATTTTTTAAAACAAAATTCTTTTAATAAAAGAAAAATCGTTCAACCTTTTTTCACGTCTGTAAAAGATTTGAATGTTTAAAAAAAAAAAAAAATTAAATGGTTAATCTCATAAAAATAAAAACCATCATTACTTTTTACAAAGTAAAAACAAATATATATTTTCTTTTTTTTTAAAAAAGTAAATATTAATCTATCTCTATTTTTCAAAATTAGTTTTTATAATAGTGTAAAATGATTGGGTTTTGATATTCATGGGTAGACTTATAAACATGGACCCACGTTTTGTTAACGTTTTCTTATTTTTTTAAGGATATGTTTGTTTGTCAAAAGAGTGTGTAACATCACTTTTTCACAAATGTAATTCTTTAGGAGTTAAATATGTTCTCATCCACGTAAAAATGTACACATCTTATTTCCAACCTCCGACATGTATGTACCCAAGAAGGTTAATTATTTATCAAATTCATTTCTTTATTTGAGACGTCTCTTGTATTGCCTTGGGCAAAATGAACATAGCCATATTTGTAAAATAGAATGTAACATCACTTTTTCCCAAATGTAAAACATAAGATTTAAATATACTGTCCTTCACGTAAAAATGTACACATCCCATTTCCTACCTCCGATATGAATGTACCCAAGAAGGTTACATATTTATCAAATTCATTCCTTTATTTTGAGACTTATGTTCTGCTGCTTGGGGCAAGGTGACCAACCCCCACCCCCCACCCAGATTTAAATAAATTTAGAAAATCTTCAATCGGATTGTAGTCCCTTCCAAACTACCCAAACTAAACATGATGTGCACTTCTTATGGTTCGTTCTTTTTTGCATGAGTTAAAAGTGGATTAGTCAATGCTAATTGGCTATGTAGTTGCACTTCACTGCTTGACTTAAACCGCATTTTTTATTAGAATTATATTTAAAGTTTAGTTTTTATTACTTTATAAATAAAAAAAGGAATAATGTTTTGGAATAAAAAATAAGGCAAAAAATTTAAAAGTTAAAATATAAAAAGCTAAATGTGTGTGTGTTTTATTAACAATTTAAAAAAGCAATCAATGGTATTTCTTAATTTTACTTTTAAGAAAGGAAAATATATTATCAGTTTTGTCATGCACGGGTTTTAAATTTCAAGAAACCTAAGAGTTTTGTTCATAAGGAACTCTTAAGGGGTTATGAACTTTTTATAATATTTCGTTGGGGGCCAGGGGCCCAAAATGTCGTTTTTTCCTATATGAGCTATAAAAATATCACCCAGTACTCTTACATGAATAGATGGATCTTGACCAAACTTAGTACATATATACCTGATTATCCATATTCAAATACCAAAGGTTACTCAACTAATAATAGCCATTCTTTTATATAAGCTATATAAATATCAATAGGCTTAATACTCCTACATGAATGGATGGATCTTGACCAAACTTATTACACGTACTCATGGTCATCCATATTCAAATACCGAAAGGGTACTGAACTCATAAAATCCATTTCTCTGGGGCCGGGTGGGCCCATTTCATTTTTCCTTATTATAAGCTATATGAATATTAATAGGGTTAGACAACGGTATAGGTTCTTTGTGAATTTATGGATCTAAGCCTAGCTTTATTCATTAGGCTTCTTAGTCCGTATTGAAATATCGGTGAATTTAAAACTAATAATATCCAATCTAGAATTTTCCAGAAAGTTTGATAATTTTAAAAAGCTATATTTATGGCATTTTTAAGTACATTTTAATGGGACAAATTTTAAATTTTAACTCTAATATTTGTGCCTCTGATATTTATAGGGCCCCTATCTCAGGCAAAGCTAAATCAGTACAGTTATGGGGCCCCATGATTAACTTAAAAGAAAAAGGATTATAATTATGGAATTTTTGAAGATTTTTTTCGTATTTAAAAAATAATTTGAAAAGTAGTTTTTACACATGTTTCGAGCAGGTTATTAAATTTAATCTAGAATGTTCCAGAAAGTTTTAAATTGTTTCAAAGGGATACATAGTGGGATCTAAGGGAATATTAAAATGTTAGTTAGTTCTGTTCATTTATATACTGTCCTGGAGTGTACTGTTCTCTCAGTAACATTGAGTTAGTTTTTTTTATACGGGATCACAAAGGGGTCGGGATCCTATCATAATCTTTATCCCAAAGGGATCGGGATCCCACAAGAACTGGATACCACAGGGATCGGGATCCCACAAGAACTGGATCCCACAGGGATCGGGATCCCAACCTTGAATGGATCCACCGGCATCGGCATAAAACCGGAAACGGGACGGCGCCGGGATCGGTGTCAGAATGGGATTAGGGTTCCAATGGTATCGGGGTCACACAAGGATGGGGTCCTAATGCCATCCCGTGCAACGCGGGGTATATTGGCTAGTATGACAATAAAAACTAAACACTTACGTGCTGCAGTTCTAAGAGTAGTTGTCGCTAAAAAAATCAAATAAATAAATAAAAATACAAAAAGGCACAAAATAAACTATTATTATTTATTTAGCTAAGAAATCGGTTTTCAAGGGTTTCATAGATTTTAATAATAATTGATTTATAGTATGGTGTATGCAAAATTTTACAAAAGAATTCATTTACTATTCACTTATAATTTTGCAAATTATCATAGAAAGAGAAAATTGAATATATTTGTTTGGTGTGTTGTGTGTTTCAATTTGTGTGTTTCTGTGTGTTTTTTGCAATATAACAAAACCTAATATATCCATCTTTACAAATTATAATATATTAATATTTTTTTTTAGTTCTTATTTAAATTTCAGCTCACCATATATCTTTTTAAACCTATCTTCCTAAATAAATGACAGCTATAAATATATAATGAATAAAATATCATAATATTAATAAACAAGAAAACCACAGAGCCTAATCTTTTAAATCAAGTTCTTATCTGATTATACTTTTTTTTTAAATCCCAGAGAAATGCCGATTATTTGGGTTTTTCAAAAAAAAATTTTCTTGCAAATTATATCTCTAACTATGTTGAATTTTAAGAGATTTTTTATCATCATAATAGTTAATTTCTTCTTAAAATCACAAAGACACAAATAGATACGAAGAGTCGATTTTCAAAATGCTGTATCTCCATTTTTGGCGTTTTGAGATAATCGACTTTTGCTGCCACACAATGAAGACAGTGATGGCTCAAATTTTCGGAAAAAAATAAATGTTAATTTATTTATATATTCAAAATATAAGTTAGATTATGGTGAAAATTGAAATGTAGGTTGATCAAAATGTATTTATTTACTTGGTTGAATTTCTTAATTCGTTTCAAAATTTTATGTGTCCAGCTGTAACTTAGCGACAAAATGCTGCATATCCATTTTGATAGCATAACATTATTCCCAGTAGCAAATGATTAAAGTTTTTTATAGATAACAAACCACTTACATAACAAAATTAAATTAAATTGTATCATATACATCATATAATTGTGTCTGATTAATGTTTTTTATTGATGTATTTTAACATAACAGTCTTATAAATGCTGGTAAGTCGCTTGTATTAGTGTAATGTTTAGAGGGCCATAAGTTTGCGTGATTTGTGTTTATAAATCTGAATTCTAAACAAAATTAAACAAGATAATGTTTGTTGTGAACTAGATTGTTGTGAATGTTGGGTAGGGGGAGTTGTGGATCGTGAGAGTGCTTTGTGAGTTGTTGTTCGTGAGATCAGAGCGTGACGTTAGTCCGTGGCCGTGGTGTGGAACGTTAGCGTAGGCTGAGTTGTTTTGTGTGGAATTATAAAAGGGATGTGTGTTAGCTAGACGTCAAGAAGAAAGGTAGAAGAGAAAGAGAAGAATTGTTAGTCGTCAAATGTTGTCAGTCAAGACTTAGTCGAGTAGGTGTGCTAGGAGAGTGGATAGTTGGTAGTTGGACTGATGTGTGTTCCACGTGCCATGGTATATTGAATAGCAGTATCCTGTTTTGTAAAGTATGCAATAAATTATTATATTGTTACGCTGGACCTTGTGTTTTATGTGGGAGAGAGAGATTCATACACCCTAGACAACGTAAGAAGGCCGAGCCATTTGATGAAGGTCTCAATCCATACACCCTAGACAACGTAAGAAGGCCGAGCCATTTGATGAAGGTCTCAATCCATACACCCTAGACAACGTAAGAAGGCCGAGCCATTTGATGAAGGTCTCAATCCATACACCCTAGACAACGCAAGAAGGCCGAGCCATTTGATGAAGGTCTCAATCCATACACCCTAGACAACGCAAGAAGGCCGAGCCATTTGATGAAGGTCTCAATCCATACACCCTAGACAACGTAAGAAGGCCGAGCCATTTGATGAAGGTCTCAATCCATACACCCTAGACAACGCAAGAAGGCCGAGCCATTTGATGAAGGTCTCAATCCATACACCCTAGACAACGTAAGAAGGCCGAGCCATTTGAGGAAGGTCTCAATCCATACACCCTAGACAACGTAAGAAGGCCGAGCCATTTGATGAAGGTCTCAAGTTAGTAAAGTAAAGTCGTAACAATGTTCAATGGGAGCCAAAATGATCAATAAATTGATCGTGGGCCCTTAAGATATACAAGAAGAATTCAGAAATCATTTAATTTGAATTTAGAACAACGACAAAATTATAAAATAATGAAGTGTCTGATTCAGAGTGTGCATCATCTTAAATAGCAATTTTTGTTTTGTTCCAGGAAAAGTTGATGCTTCTTAAAGTGCATAAAGTGTTGATGGTAGTGCTGAAGTCAACCGGTTCGCTAAACTGATGGTGCCATCTCCCCTCCCCCACACCCACCTCCCGACTTCAACGATGGATTTCTTCTTGTATAAATAAGTCCACGGTATAAAAATGACGAGAACAAAATCAAATTAATGGAAAGTCAGGAGGTAAATGTATTTAAGAACTGAATTAATGTTAAGCTTTAGTTATTTTTACATTGAATTTACTTTATTTAATTTTTTTTTCTTTTCCAGGTCTTCAAAGATGACAACCTGTCAATGACTTGATCAAAATCAATATCCTTTACCGTATCACTTTCAATTTATAGTGGCTTTAAGTAAAGACCTTAGAATACTGATTTAGTGATGTTTAATAAGAATTCCACTTTTTACAATATATACTGATCCCGATAAAGTCTCCAGTAAGACGTCTTGCAATTATGCCTTTTGTTTCTACATGTATGCCATGTCACAAGAGCATCTACATAGAGTGACTTCTCCACCTGTAGCCTGTACACTGTACGGTATATTTTTAATAAAGTTAAGAACATGTACAAATCATTTACTTAAATTATGAGAGCCCTTCCTCCAGGGCGGTCTTAGATGAGATAGCATTGTTTTTTTCGGATAGTATAGTATGACCATTGAAAAGATATGTTTATTATAATATGCACATCTTGATATGCAGCCAGGCATTGCTTGTATTCCAGAGTAATCCTTCCCCCCATATTATTTTCATCCCAGACTGTATTCACACCAGACTGTACTCACCCCAGGCTCTATTATTCACCTGCTTGAGATCAAGAAAGTCTGCTGAGGTATATTGCTGCTGTCTTATTTTTGTTTTTGTTGTCTTGAAGCCCATTTAAGATTCTTTGGCTCACGGTAAAGAGTTTTTCGTCCTTGCATTGTACAGTTCTGGGTACAGTTTGGCATTTATTGAGGCATCTCATTGATCTTAGCTTCTTTCTCTAAGTTTTCGGTCTAAGGGATGTCGGTCAATATCTTTTATCAATATCCGTATCCTTTCGATTTTTAATTTTGTTGCTATAACAGAATTTACCGGAGTTAGGGATTTTGCTTTGCGCCTAATGCTGTTTCTAAAATCAAGAAAGCCTAATTTCTTGAACGCGTCTAAATTCACCAGCATGTCTTTATCGATTTGATATAATTCCGCTGTTGTCTTTCCACAAGCATTTCTTTTGACTATTTTGTGACAAGTATGTTCGGTTTTACTATGGTCATATTTAGAGTTGTTGTTATTTTTTTTCCAACAGTTTGATCTTCTAAATATATGCGCAGATTCTCTGTTTCATAGCTTGTTCAATATTTGAGTCCATAAAAGTTTGTTTTTTTCCTCCGGCATCCTGTTGGAGAGGCAGCGTCTAATATGTCTTTTGGGATTTATTCGCAGACATGTGGTGTTGTTTTTGGATGATTTTACCAAGAAAATTCATCGCTTCCTGCTTTGTTATAATCTTCTTGTTTGTGTATTCCAATGCGTTAATGCTTTCAAATGCTTTTGATTTGGTGTTGCTAGCGTCTTGACAATAGGTCAGGGATATCTACCTGTGCCCTCAAACACAAATTTGTATACATATGTATAGTAATTCTGAAAATTGGACGGGTTAGATCAGGTCTGCAGAGTGCCATGAGCTAAGAGAATAAGAGAGCGTCTCGACTTTTCTGAATGAAATAGTGAAACGAGGTATGTGGAAGCTTGAAATAAGGTAACAGGACAAAAAACAAGGACGTTTCGGCATAAAGCCTTCCTCAGCCAACAATAGAAATGAAAATATAACATTTATTTCGACTTTTCTGCACAGTTAATATTCAGATTCCTTCAATTGCCTTGTCAACAAAAAATAAAAATATGAGAACACGCCATTGTAGCTAAATGTAAAAAGAATATGAAAATCACCTATGGTAGTTGGTTCAGTGGTTGTTGTTGTAGCAGTGGTTGTAGTTATTGGACACTCGTACTGACTTGCCCTAACGCAGGTTTTAGTCTGATGGATGAGAAATTTTCAACAAAAAATTTTTTTAAAATTATTAATGACCTCAATGTACCTCATCTGAACACGTTACCCAGGACGGAAGTGTAGTGTCTGCCTGAAGTCACAAGACAGTAACATTTTAACCACACCGATGATGCATCATCATGGGGGAGTTTTGTCAAATGCTTCTATTTCCGCGCTGTCAGACCTGGTTCACTGATCCAAACAATTAAAACTTGAACAACTCCCAAAAATAACTCGGCTGCATAAAACAATTACAAAATCGTGCATACTATTTTAACACAGTGACATCAGTTGAGATCATGGGCGCCCGCAGAAAGCTTTCTGGGGGGGGGGCAAACAAAATCGATTAATTTTCCAGGGGGGGGCAAAAAAAATTTAGTAATGTTTTAATGTAGTTTTAATTTACTGTAGCCTATTTGTATGGTGAACGAACGGACAAAACATCAGCTTAGTTACTTTCTCTTTATTTTCTCTTTACTTTAATAAATTTTTTGTCTATTTTTGTCTAAATTTTTTGTATCCAATCAATCCGGGGGGGGGGGCAAGTGCCCCACCTTGCCCCTAACTGCGGGCGCCCATGGTTGAGATGCTATCTATGTGCAGAACAAGCCGTCGTTCTACGTCAAATTTAATTGCTGCCTTTCATTAGAAAGTTATATACATCGCCATTTTTCTTGTTGTACGCTTTTAAGTATCTGGTGAAACAAAAGCTTTATTTCCCTGTGCAATCTGGATCGCCAAGATTGAGAAACCATGAGAATCCGAAACATCAGTCTAAAACACTTCGTGATCGGACTGACTCTGTTGCGCATTAGTTTTTTCTTTTTAAATTGTCTTTTTTTTTAACGTTAAGAACTGATCAAGAAAAAGAACAAACAAACTCAGGTATTGTTTATTAACATTGTCAGATCTTGACACGGTCAGAATGCAAAACTGATTTATTATTTGAGTAGACATTTAAGATACGATGTTTTCTAGAAGCGCGAAGCATTCAAACGTTTAAAAAGGACTGCAATGTATTTTCTCAAATAATCTCGTCCTTCAAAAACACTTATACTAAAAAACAAAGCAAAGCATTTTAAACTGTAAATCAAAAACACCATTACGAAACACATACTTAATAGTAAACATGCTTCGGCCTTTGGTCATTTTAATCTACGTAAATGCTGAATTAAAAGAATACTTATTTGGCGTATCTCTAGGGTATAAGAGGAGTCACCATCGAAATGTTCAAACTTGATAGGCTTGTTGCTCTAGAGATCTCGTCTTCAATGAGAGCATTCGTAAATAAATTATTTAGCTTTTATTTCAAAAGATAAGTAAATGTCGCCAATTGTTAAATAACCTTTATATTAACTTCGCTTTTTTTCGTGTCTTTCTTTCTTTCTCCCAGAGTTTGTTGCAAAATTTTGGGACGGCAAATCGGCTAAATTCCCGTCAAACTATCGAGCTTAAACTACTCAAATAGACTCTATTCTGATGACAAAGAATTTTATCAAATTTCAGCGGAACCCAAAAATCAAAACTCAGTATTTTTTTTTGATCTGTTTTTTTTCAAGTCGAAAATGAATGAGATATGATGACAATAATTTCACGAAATAAAATTCTGCACAACTTCGCTAGATAAAATTCGTAGAACATGGACAAGTGCTTTTTTTTAGCCTTCAACCCCCCCCCCCCCATTTCCCATTTCTCAAAATTACATGGACAAACGATTTATGCGGAACACTTTGATTTTAGAGGTTGATTAATTTCTAAATAATTAAACATTTAGCGACTGGAGTGGTGGTGACGTAAGTTGCATCCATTCCAAACATGTGGTTAGGTGTTCACTAACAAGCAAGAAACTTAAGACAAGCTGTAAAATAATAAACAACAACCTTGGGTGGACGGGACTCGTTAACCTAAGACAGTAACTCATCCAAGAGAAGGAAATTTCTGAATTCCAATCATGGAATCCCGTAGGAGGTATTATATTAACTCAGTGAAAATACGGTCCAATTCTGCGCCGCTAGTGTTAAGAACTATGTCATCAAAACATGTTTTCCCCGGGTTCACAAAATTTGCGGAGGGGGGTATTTTTCTGACCAGGGAACCATTTTAGTTTGCTGAAAAAGAGAATAATCCAAGCGTTGTGGCCTCTTTTTGCAGTCTACCTTACTGTCACAGGGAAATGGACGAACACCAAAAGCCTAAAACACTGAGTGTGTTCAAACGCAGACTGAAACCTGTAGAGCAAGTCATCTAAACATGAAACATTTCAACTTGATTCGGCTTGTTGTTCTTGAGATCTCGTGGCCGGTGAGTCACTCAGTCAGTCAGTGAATGGAATTTAGCTTTTTATATTTTTAGATATCTTTTAAGTAAAAAAAAAATTCACCTTTGGATTAAAGTTTTCACTGCGTCTGCATGATCTTATGTTTCCTCTGTTATTGTTGCATTGATAGTACTTGCTGCAGGTTGTAAGGTGAGCCGCTACGCCATTTTTCACGTATTTGCACGGATTAGTCTCTGAAAATACAAAATAATTCTTGTTATATTTATAAGGCTTACATTGTTAGCCACTGGTAAGATCTAAACACAATCTCAGGGCCAAGGCTCTGATTAGATACGAAAAAGGAAAATGACTGCTACCCACATGAGACTCTAATACAACATATAATATAGTTCAACATATAATATAGTTTTACAACATATAATATAATTTTACAACATATAATATAGTTTTGCAACATATAATATAGTTTTGCAACATATAATATAGTTTTGCAACATATAATATAGTTTTACATAAACGTTTGCTTTATGCTGATAAAAGACAGACATTTGAAGTTATATATTCAGGAATCTTAACAGACAGAAATCTTTATTTACAGATTAAAATATAGATACAAATTAGAATAAATGTTGTTTTACAAAGACTTGAATAATAATTTCATTTTCAGATCAAGTCGTTTAGATATGTTTAGTTTGGTTCTTAGCAGGATTACAAGAACTAATTTTTCCTACAAAATATTTAGAGAGCCCAAATATTATCATTTTTTTATTTAAAAAAAATTATGTTTGTTTCAGATGTAAAGAAAAAATATGGCACAACATACAAGCGATTAATATTGGTATTTTTTCCCTTCTGCTGATCATAGTGAAATGCTCAATTAATAAAGATAAACAATATAAGTTTATAACAATGAACAACTAATTCTTTAATAACGAACAAAAAAGTTTATCAAAATAAACACCTAAGTTTATATCCATGGACTACTCAATTTATCACTACAAACAGCACGTTTATAATAATGAACACCTAAGTTTACCATAATGTACAACAAAGTTTGTCATGTCGAACAACTAACATTATCATAATTAACAGATAAGTTTATAAGTTTATCATAATGAACCACTAAGTTTAGACAAATTAACATTTTCGTTGATCATAATTAACACTAATGTCAGTATGGATTCTTATTGACAAACTCGCCACTTACCTTGGGCGCTTACGGAGCCGACATAGCCGATTAAAAACAGCAACACTATTTTGGTCTGGTTTCAAACAGAAAAAAAAAAAAAATGCACGTACTAACAGTATGAAACATGGGGGGGNGGGGGGGGGGGGGGGGAGGTTCAATCTAGAATTGACATTTGTTATTTCAAATATAAACCAATAATATATAATCTACTAACATTAAAGAAAAAAAGAAATCAAAAATGTTCTCATTAAATTTACTCATACCGTTTTTTTTTTTTTCTGAAATGTAATTACATGTTCAATAATTATTATTGTATATTTGAAATACATTAATATGACAAGTAATGAATTATTTATCTGATTTAGAATATTAAAATATTTCTTTTGTTAACAATAAATGATCATCCATTTAATATAATCATTAATTCGTAATCACATTAATCGGGATAACAAAACACCTGTTGATGTTTTTATTGGGTTGTTAATTTTGCGAAATTCAATTTACATTTACGTTTTTTTATTTTTGCGAAATTCAATTTACATTTACGTTTTATTAATTTTGCGAAATTCAATTTACATTTACGTTTTGTTAATTTTGTGAAATTCAATTTACATTTACGTTTTGTTAATTTTGCGAAATTCAATTTACATTTACGTTTTCACAATATCAAATGAAAATGTCCGACTCAACTCAAACAAAGAAAAATTATATTAATTTCATAAAAGCTAAATTTTGACTCGAAAATGAAAAAGCTTGGATGCTCCTTGATTAAAAAACCATGTGTGACAAAACTTAAAATGGGTTTGCCCCTTTTTTTAAAAAAAAATAATAAATTAAATATTTTGGTTGCTTTAACTTTTTAAATGGTTAATAAACTACAAAAAAAAATTAAGCATTGTATTTTTAAAGAAAATTCGTTTAAGCAAATAGTTTTTTTTTTTTTAAAGTCATTGTGAAACACAACTTACTCATTCACTTTTCACTTAACCAAATAAGCCTTAACAAATTATTAAACTTATTTTGTTATTATTATTATTATTATTGGTGTTTTTATAGAGCGTGGTACCCAATGCTAGGGGTGGGCTCACCACGCTGTAAATACTATTTAACAAACATTTATCTGGAACTTAAAAATTAAAAAAGTAAATCAAACAAAACAAATGTATATTCACTCCACACATTCAAGAACTATTCACATGTCAAACTATTGGATGGCACCCAGCAAATTCGTTTATCGGTCAGAGGGGGGAATCAGTGGGAAAATCTTCAATAGAAGCGACCTCATTGCCATGGCGGACTTTAGAATTAGTGCGATCGTGCCTTTCATCCAGTTGGTTGAATTTGGAAAACATGGTTATCCAGATCTATTGAACCCTGACCTCACATGGCATGAAGGTCACATGTCTTTATTTACAGCTTGAGACTTTTCCCCGCCTCTCCACGTTACGGACTAACTGCTCATCTTTTCTTTCTATTTTCCTTATTTAATATCTCAACCTCTTGTATTTAGGCAAAATTATTTTTCTGCTCTCTCAAAAACTACTTCTCACATAACTGCTTTTTAAATATTTTTTTTTCTGCTTTTTATTCGCTGACGAAGGCATCATTTATAGTCTTAAAAAAAAGAATATTTAATTCTTGAAACAAATGTCCTATTCTTCTACAAGCCATATTGCCCCCAACTCCTCGACATCAACCTGGCCACCACACTACTGCATCTTAGTTTTCTCACTTTTTATCAGTTTTGTACCCCCACATACTTCTACCAGCTATGTTTGCCTACTCTTCTACCAGCTATGTTTGCCTACTCTTCTACCAGCTATGTTTGCCTACTCTTCTACCAGCTATGTTTGCCTACTCTTCTACGAGCTATATTTGCCTACTCTTCTACCAGCTATGTTTGCCTACTCTTCTACCAGCTATGTTTGCCTACTCTTCTACCAGCTATGTTTGCATACTCTTCTACCAGCTATGTTTTCCTACTCTTCTACCAGCTATGTTTGCCTACTCTTCTACCAGCTATGTTTGCCTACTCTTCTACCAGCTATGTTTGCCTACTCTTCTACCAGCTATGTTGTGGCCACTCTTCTACCAGCTATGTTGTGGCCACTCTTTTACCAGCTATGTTCCCCTTCTCTGTTACCAGTTTTTGGTGATACTCTTCTACCTGCTCTGCTGCCGCCACTTGTTTATCAACTTTCTTCCTCCACTCTTCTACCAGCTATAGTTCTTCCATTTTCTACCAACTTTATGCTCCACTCTTCTACCAGCTATATTCTCCAGTTTTCTACCAACTTTACTCTCCACTCTTCCACCAGCTATATTCTCCACTCTTCTACCAACTTTATTCTCCACTCTTCTACCAGCTTTATTTCTCCACTCGTCCACCAGCTATATTCTCCACTCTTCTACCAACTTTATTCTCCACTCTTCGACCAGCTTTATTTATCCACTCTTCTACCAGCTGTATTCTCCACTCTTCTACCAGCTTTATTCTCAACTCTTCTACCAGCTATATTTCCCAACTCCTCTGTAGCTACGTTGCATATAGACTGCTACCTTCTATGTTGCTAGTACATGCATTTCTAATGTCTGTGTGGTGACTAACACATAGCACGCCATCGACTTCCTTCAACCACACTTATACATAATAATTTATCTGGAGCCTAAAATTTTTTAAAATCTAGTCTCAAGATTTAAATGTGATTGAACAGCGCTGGTTCCTATTTCTTCAACTATGTTTGACAATTATGGTTTGCCAATCTATAATATATTGCTCTCATCCTTTCCGACACATATGTCACTAAAAAAGCAAAAATCGGGGTTTTCCCCAACAAGAGAAGGAATTATGACAAAAGATGCCCTGTACAACTATGTTGCATTTAAAAATTGAAAATAGAGACCGACCGAAAGTCATTTTCTGATTTCGGCCGAAACCGAAACTATGCCGAACGTTAAAAAAATGACTTTTGGCCGAAACTGAAGCTGAAACCGAAAGCTTAAAGAGACTTTCGGCCGAAGCTGAGGCTGAAACTGAAATATTTAGATATTTTGAAATTCGTTCATGCATACATTCTGGGCCTTTGTCACTTTCAAAATCTTCCTCTTCTTCTTATGCCTTTTTACTCAGTCTGGGGCATAGGCCATCCACAAGAATTATCCTTTCATCACGGTCCTGGGCCTTCCTTTCCAGTTGTATCCAGGTCTTTCCAATATTTTGCATGCATGCTTTTAGCTCGCGTCTCCATGCATTCTTTGGCCTTCCCCTCTTTCTTTTCCCTGTGGAATCCATGTTAGGAAATGTTTGGTAATGTTATCTGGGGGTTTTCGGAGAAAAGACCTATCCATCTCCATCTTTTATTTTACAAGTCTTCGTCAGTGAGTCCTTCCAAAGATCTTTATTGGTGATAATTTTTGGCCATTTGATTTTCAGGATCTTTCTAAGGCACGTGTTTATGAAGGTCTGTACTTTCTGCGTAATGCTTGCCGTTGTTTTCCAAGTTTCTGATCCATATAGTATGATTGTCTTTCAAAATAGGGTTAGTCAAAAAGACCCTTACTACTATAAAAAGTCAAAATTCATTCTACCTAAAATTGTTTCTTCCTTTGCTTCAATAATTCATAAATATGTCCTGCTCCTGCCTACTGCTTGACACGTTTTACCATTTAAAGCCTTCATGGAGAAGGAGGGGGATGATAATTTATGTACTAAGTGATCCCAAATGGCTCATGGACTTGGTTTTTCTTGTTGACATTACACTGGAGCTGAATGTACTCAACAAGAAGTTACAAGACAAGGGGTAGCTTGTTAGTGTTGCCTATGACAATGTCAGGGCATTCTGTACAAAACTTGTGTTATGGTACTTGGAGAAACCTCAGCCATTTCCCAACATGCAAATTACTCATGAACGTGGACACATCATTCAGTAGAAAGTTTGTAGTAAGTATACTAATGCCATTGCAAAGCTACAGAATGAATTTGATAATATTTTTTAGACTTCAAAACATAGACAGCCACTTTCAGCTTTTTGCTGACCCTTTCTCCTTTAATGTGCAAGATGGCCCGTGCAGGGAGGTGAATTGACAAACAGACAAGCATGGACATTTTATTGCACTGGCCTCAACTTTCCCTGAGATTTCTAGCTTGTTCAGGCGGATCATATGACTTTTTTAGGAGTACCCATCTGTGTGAAAAGCTCTTTTCCAATATGAAATTTAACAAGTCAAAGTTCAGGGCCAAACTTACTGATGAGCATCTTCAAGCTATACTGAGGGTCTCAGTTGCTTTCTCACTCAAGCCAAAGTTGCTCAGTTGTGTTAAAAGAAGCGCTGCCAGGTCTCTCGCAACGGTGAGTAGGTGGAAGAAAGTGAAGCCTAGTTCTTGAAAACCATTTTATTTTATTTATTTATAATGGTTGAGAAGATTGTAACAGTTTTACTTTACTTTAATGAATATTTAATAGCTTTTTGTGTGGAATTCTTGATACGGCCCAGTCTCAATCAGACTCTACCTTCTGCGGCCCGGATGATTTGAGTTTGAGACCCCTTATCTAATGGTTTTTACCATTTTAATTTAAAGTAATTTAAATTTCTTAAATTTTTTTAAAAAAATTAGTATGTTAGGAGAACATTTGGAAAAAGGCGGGAAAAGGGGGGAGGGAAATAAATGCAAAAAAAGACCTTTGTAATGCTTTTGTAATATAATTACAACCTAGAACATATACCTACAATAATTATTGTGCCTCTAATAGAGCCATCTTCCACCTAAATATATGTTATAAAAGCTATTAAAATATCACCACAATGTTTCGCTATTTTCGTCATACTAATGCTTTGTGTTTACATAAATAGCTTGTAAGATATCACTGCATTAATATTTAGCCTATTAACAACACACTAGTCTTTCTGTGCTGGTGACGTCATTATTTCTTTCGGCACTAAACCTCCCTCCCCCTTTGGTGGGGGAATTTTTTTTTTAAACGGGTCTCTTAAAATTGTTGTTCTGATGGATTAAAAGCCTTAATTTTCCCGAAACAGTTTTCATATTTTTTCTGTTTATAAAAAACAAAACATATGTTTTTTTGTGTTGTGTTAACATCCCCCCGTCACCATGTGACGACAGTGTAGACTTCGCAGGACGAAATCCACAAGGCCTGGGATTATTCGCTTTAGGATAATGAGCTGGATCCCAACACAGCAAATCGCCTCTCTCCATGCCGTTGGAAAAGTCAAAATCATGTGGATGATATGGCACCAGTGGCCTGCAAGGATTTGTCGGAATGTTTCATTGTACCAATGTTATCCGCTTACGGGACTCCAATTCAGAGTTTTCTTTTTCTTTCATAAGTTGCCTTCCACCCGGGTAGCTGGTTAAGTTTTTGTTCGACCGGGCTTTGATGGGGGGCAGAATTCCAGACCATCCAAACTTTAGCTTAGATTTTACAATTTGGCCACCCAGCACATATGACACAACGGTGATAAATATCAAAGCAGATATATACATATATATTTATGTATACGAAATGTACTTACCATTGCAGCCATTGTAAGGACTTTGGTTCAAAACACAGATCTAGATGCGAAGAGATCGTTGAAGGGGGGGGGGAGGTCTTTATGCTAACCAGTAATTGAAACGTCAAACAATTCAATAACATATTACGTGGACGATTTAAACATATTAAATACGCCTATAAAACCCATGGTTCTAAAAGGGGGATCTCAGAAAAAAAAAATGTGCGTAATATATTATGTTATTGAACTATTCCCAAAACATGTCGACAAGGAGGTAGACTGTCATTAAAATGGTCCCATTAGAAATCATCCTGCAAGGGGCTGCAGGGTTGAAGTGAAGAAATTATCTTATATGAATAAAGTTTAATGAATTTAATGGTTACCGGAAATTTGATCGAAAGGGATATCATCGACGGAAAATTGATTGACGGTGATTTGATCGAACGGAAATTTTATTTTCAGGTCATACATTAAAATTTTCTTCAAATTTCCCTTTTAACGTACGATACTTTATAGTAAAACATTATAATGCGTTCAAAAAGAAATTTGAAGCAAAATTTTAACGTGTGAACTTAAATAAATATTCGACCAAATTTCCGTTCGATCAAATTTCCGTTGATCAATTTCCGTCTACGAAATTTCTTTCGATCAAATTTTCGGATATTCTTTTATTTATTTCTTTTGCTAATTAACGGTGTGATGCCATACTTACAAACCGTTAAGAATTAATCAACTATTCTTACAAATATTAAATGACTAACTACTATTACTTTGTTTAGAATTAAACTATGCATTTTTTAGTCACATTTTGGAGTGCGTGGATATAATAGGACTACTATTACCTTTTTCGTAAGTTTCAAAATTGAAACTGAAAACGTTTAAGAGCCACTGAACAAAGTGTTAACATTATTTTTTTTTTCCTTTGTCTGATGTATGGTTTGCTGTTTACTGAATAGCTGGGGATAACTTGCCACTTAACGCATAATTCATGGCTCTGTTTGTCTTGCAATGATTTACCAGCTACAGAGCGGGTTAACACACCCTAAAGTAAGACGTACTGGACTACGTACGGCCCAAAACACGTGTCCTCAAATTAGGGTCGTGTGGCGACCTACTTTTTGCGCACGTCTGAGATCCGAATATCCCTATTAGATGAATCTGTCAAACAAGCTTTTTTTTTTTTATATATATCTGGAGGGCCCGCTGATCCATTATTGATCATTCTGGCTACTGGTTTGAATTCAGAGTGTGCCTTTCTCTTGTCTTAGATAAGTTGACGCCCAATGCTAAAGGGTCCCCATCCATCCAAAGGTGCCGGGGGAAGATGGATTGAACTCCAGACCACCAGCTTCTATTTCGATTCAGTTCAGCTTCGAAAACTCAGCCACCCCGCACACAGCTCTGTGTAAAAGATCAACATGGTTATGAATAGTGTTGAGGTTTAGTTATTTCTACCGATGAAAAAGTAATTCAAAATTTTAAAAAAAAAAAAAATAATAATTTCATATCTTATTTTTTATTTAGTTTTTTTTTTTTTAATTTTTTTTTTGTTTCTTTTTTTTTTTTTTTTTTTTTTTTTTTTTTGAGATGGTGAAGATATGTAATCTTGGTTTGGATCATCCAGAGTTCAGGAACAACAAGGGTGATCACTCAAGTTTTAAACTAGTGGATATTTTTTGTCGTATTTCCTATTTTTCCCACGTCTGCTGAGGAAGGCTCTTATCCGAAACGTTTTTAATCTAACCGTCCTGTATTTCCAGTCAAGCTTCCACATACCTTGTTATACTATTAATGTAGGCAACAAGGGGACGGAAGAAAGGACAAAGAAGTCAACGGCAAATGATGTATCAAGAAGAAAGGGGGGGGGTGGAGAAAGGAGCACCCTCACACAAGGAAGACTAACACGTCTGCTCAGTTTCTTTCTAGATTTGTAAATCCAAGTGGCAAGCATAAAAGCATCGGTACTGACGTCTGAGTGCAACACCCATTGATAACAAAGGGAAGTAACTGTGCCAGTACAGTACAACGCGAATGCACCAGCACGGATTACACATTCATGAGAATTTATTTTCTGATATCCTGTTATTGAAATTACCTTTTTCAGATTTTTCATTTAACTGCATTTGTGAACATTCCCCGTGTTCCATTCTGCAAGTGGCAAACGTTAAATAAAGGAAAGGTATTGACAAGTTGCCGTCTATGGGCAACATTGATATCTCAGCTGATTTTTACAAAAATTAAATAAAATAACAAGATTATAGCATTCTTTTACCACGCCATCCCCACACAAACAAACAAACAAAATCCTTTCAATTCACGCAGAGTGAAGTGTTTGAGATGTAAGTAGGAAGATCCTTTCAATTCATGCAGAGTGAAGTGTTTGAGATGTAATTAGGAAGATCCTTACAATTCATGCAGAGTGAAGTGTTTGAGATGTGGTAGGAAGATCCTTTCAATTCATGCAGAGTGAAGTGTTTGAGATGTAGTAGGAAGATCCTTTCAATGCATGCAGAGTGAAGTGTTTGAGATGTAGTAGGAAGATCCTTTCAATGCATGCAGAGTGAAGTGTTTGAGATGTAGTAGGAAGATCCTTTCAATTTATGCAGAGTGAAGTGTTTGAGATGTAGTAGGAAGATCCTTTCACTTCATGCAGAGTGAAGTGTTTGAGATGTAAGTAGGAAGATCCTTTCAATTCACGCAGAGTGAAGTGTTTAAGATGTAATTAGGAAGATCCTTACAATTCATGCAGAGTGAAGTGTTTGAGATGTAGTAGGAAGATCCTTTCAATTCATGCAGAGTGAAGTGTTTGAGATGTAAGTAGGAAGATCCTTTCAATGCATGCAGAGTGAAGTGTTTGAGATGTAGTAGGAAGATCCTTTCAATGCATGCAGAGTGAAGTGTTTGAGATGTAGTAGGAAGATCCTTTCAATTCACGCAGAGTGAAGTGTTTGAGATGTAGTAGGAAGATCCTTTCAATTCATGCAGAGTGAAGTGTTTGAGATTTTCCTCTTGGGGCGAACATTCTATTCAGAAATATTTTAAAATAAAATAAATTTAAATTTTGGGAATTTTTTCACAATAACTCTATATTCAAAACTTGAATAGAAATTCTTATCAATGCTATCAGATAATCATATATTATTTCTTTCTTTTTACTCTTCTTAACTATACTTTCCCACTTTTTTAAGCCAAATCCTTTTTCATGTAAAGCCAACTCCACTAACTTACTATTTATCATCTTCCAAAAATCACCCTAAAATGTCTATTTTTAACAACTTACTCAGTAAGCAGTAACAGTATGCTTCTTTGCTAAATTAATATGAAAGCTAATTAAATTCAACATTGGATAATCTGATTTAATACGTTGTAAAGGCTTTAGCAACATTTTGATAAGTTATTTTGTCTGCAATATTAATAAATAAGCTCCTTTCCAAACTGCGTCACTTCAAGTTGGATCGTTATGTTGTAGCTCTGTGTTGCGTCCAAAGAAACGAAAAAAGTAAAGACATTTGTGTAATACTGCACTAAATAAGTTGTTGATGAGGCAGACACGGTTTGTAAGAGATTAAAAATGAGTCAGTCATATGTCTACGTGGCCACTGAGACTTTTATAAACCTGAACATATGCGAGCTGTAATTGCTTTCAATGAAGCTTTGGATGTTGAAAAAGAAAATGTCCAATCAAAAATTGGAGCTATTGATTCATATTGATGGAAAGAAACTGAGAAATCCCAAACATTCTGAAAAAGCGAGCAACCATCTAATGATACATCATCAACAGTGTGACACCTTACATCAGTAGGGCATCAGAAAATGGAAGATGCTGACAGTATCCAAGACATAGCGATATAGGGAAACGTCGATTTATTTGTGAAAACCCCAGAAAACCATGACAACTGTGACACTTATTGGCTGCCGATTACAATGTAAGCTACACATACATCCGTACTATAATTGTAGTGAAGTGATAAAATTGGCTTTACGTGGTTATATTTCGTGTAATAGGATGTAAACTGTGCATTTTGTGTTAATAAAAAATAGAACATTTTATATAAGAAAGAGCAAGGCTGACCATATAACGCCAAAAGAAACGAATTGATTTAAAAAATTTCACATTCTTAAAAATAACGCTGGACGCTTTCTGTTATTTTAATGACATCAAATAAATTTCATTGATTTAATGGCTGCATGTGACAAAGCCAGATAACGTATTTCCTCTTTTTCAAGCTAAAATTAATAAATATATTTGATGGCTTTTAAAATTGTTTTGAAAAAACACACACATTTTAACATTGTACTTTAATTATTTAAATTTTTAAAACTTTACTCTTCATTCAAAAATTATATTTTATCAAATTTGTAAATTAATAGAAACTTAACTTTTAAATATACTTTAAAAAAATACTGCTTAATTCCATTAGTGCATCGAAAATTCATAGACAAATAGAATGCACTAATGCACTTATCCTCCTCATCCTCATGTCCCTTAGTCCTTGGACCGTTGGGGCGCCACAGATGACATGTGAACCATCCTCCTCCATTCCTCTCTGTCTTCAGCACTACGCACTGCATCGCCCAGTGTTAGTCCTGTCCGCTCTTTGATGTTATCCTCCCATCCAAATAAGATCAGACCATATTAAGATGCAATTTGTTCATTATGATATCTATATCTAAAACCCAATGATGTGACAGGATTTGAACTTTGGTCTAGTTTTTAATTTTAAAATAAATAAACATAATACTTCAATAAATGGACGTATGCCTTTAATTATATATAGACTATTGTTTTAGAATATTTTTTTTCAAATGTGCGATAAAAGGGATCTGGCAAAAAAATCTGTGGTCTCATACGCAGGGAGCTACCATCACATGGATGATTTTAGTATTTTTAAAAATTAAAAACTCTCGGGGGAGTAGGGTTCGATACTTTCATTTTGCCCCAGCCAGCACAAGAGATGTCCGAGAATAAAGGAAAGAATTTAATAAATAATTAACCTTCTTAGGTGTATATATCGCTCGCTGTAGGAGAAATAGGATGTATATACATTTATTTTGATGAAATAGACAGCGACGAGGCCATGACAGGCAATTCAGGCTCATACCAGCAAGAAGCCAGTATAGGA